TTACCATAAGTGGTTGATCACCATCACTGCTGTCTATAAATATAAATGTTGGTTGAATAGTAAAGAAAGTACAAAAAATATTATTAATTTTGCTGCTAAAAATTCTAAAAGAATTTATTTAAAAGATATATTTAAAAATATGATTTTTTTTTTTTTAATAATATAATTTTATTATTATTAACAATTATTGTGTAGGTATTATAGGGCAAACGCTTCATCATAATTATCTACATATAATTTAATGTTTTATTAATTGTACTTGTATACATAAGGTTATGTCTTATACTAATTTTATAATAGCAAATTGGTATATTATTATATTTTTTTTATTCAAGTGAGTACCTACCACAGATCTGTGGTAGCAACAAAAGTTACATACCTACATTTTAAAAAAAAAAAACATCTTATCATCTAACTATAAGTACCTAGGAGTTTTCAAATACAAATATTAAATATAATAATAAAAATTAGAAATATTTTCACTCAGTCTATAGGATCTAATAAAATATTTTGTCAACACATCATCTGTTAATAAATACGTTGGATTTTCAGCGATTTGTATAAAATATAAATTGTCCGTGTTCATTAATTGGAACGTATATTGGTATAATATAATACAATTTAAAAATTTCGCCGCTACATAGTGGAATTTTTATTGAAAATATTATTCTATCGTTCATTGGGTGAAGGTCTATATGTAATATTTTGTATATTTCTTGTATATTAGTTTCATTAAATTTGATAGGGATTTGTAAATTTTCAGGTAGAATATTTTCTATTTGTTTTATTTCTGACAACAACTGATCTGGTGTAATTATAAAAACATCTAATTTATTTGTTTGAACGTTTGATATCATTCTTTGTAACCTCTAAAAATAAAATTAACCTACTAAAATATAATATTTAGATATTTAGGTAATACTAGTTTAGGTTACAGTTATATATTAGATAATATTATTTACTGTATTGAATACATTCTTTACGAAGTAAGTATTTAATAATGCAATAAATATAAGCCGCGTAAAGGTACGCTCGAATATTAAAAATATTACGGCGGTAATGCGGTATAATATACGTGTATGCATTTTATATTTATGTGATCCGCCACATACGAAGGTTGATAAAATAATAAACATCGCTCCCGAATGAGCAAAATTGTCGGCAAGCCGCCGACTGTGAGTAGTGGGCGCGGCTTAAGCGTCGCGTGCTTGCGGATCGCGAAAACACCTAACAGCGCGTTCTCTCGGTCGTTGTATACGTTTCGATTTCGGTGTGGCGTCCTCTTAACCGCCGCGCACAGTAGGGGGATTGAGTCTCCCTTCGTCCCCCCTCACTTTAACCCCTGCCTATTATAAAACTTTTAGGTAAGATTTTTTATTATTATCATAGTAACATTATCTGTGTTTAAGCGTTGCTGATTTTTCGAAATTTTAATTTTCAAGCAAGATATAGGTATTTGAAATATCAAAAATTAAAAATGATCATATCTCGCTTGAAAATTAAAATATTGAATAAAAGCCAATGCTTAAGCACAGATAATGTTATTATCTAAAAAATGGGCTAAAGTGCACTTTACCACCCCATGCATATTTTTCGATTTTTATTTTTAGGAACTTATGTAACTCATCGAGTTAAGAACGATGGTGCAATCAGAATTTGTCGCTCTCGCTTAGTTTCGAAGTTACGGCCCTTGGAAGTAAGCAATTTAGAGTTTTTTACGCATGAGCGCAACGCTACGTGTCACATCTTTCGCGATTTTTTTTTTCTTATTCGTAAGACTACTAAATAAAAAATAAACGAGTGAACAAACACGGGACTAAGAGAGGTCAACTTCACTAGAACGCAGCACTTGACGTAATGACATTTTAAATTTTAATTGTGTATTAAAATATAGTTTCTTTAATAATACAATATAATCTAGAATCGTATTTATAATTGAATGATTATTATAATTAATTATTATCAGGTAGGTAGGTACCTACTATAGGTATAATGCGAGAATTTATTTAAACCAGATTGACTATTTTTACTTCCAGGAGTGGAATATTTTTAATTGTGAAAATGCAATTTTAATTTTGAAAAATGCAATTTTCTTAACCCTGTGACCCACTTGGGGAGGTGTTGCATATCAAATCGGGGGATATTTTCGTTTTTAATTGTCCGAGCGAGCGCAGCGACCGAGGACCCCGCTCGGTGATTCGGTGCAACAAAAATGCAATTTTCTTAACCCTGTGACCCACTTGGGGAGGTGTTGTATAGCAAATCGGGGGATAAATTATTATTGCACTATCGTTTTAAACAGGTTAGAATACGTCCTCCGCGCGGCATTATAGAGTAGTGTTGCGTATAGACGTAAAATTGAAAACTTTGGAAGGCCATAACTTCTAAATTAAGTTTGAGTGACAAATTCTGATTGCACCATCGTTCTTAACTCGGTGAGCTACATAAGTTCCAAAAAAAAAAATCGAAAAATTTGAATGGGGTGGTAAAGTGCACTTGTTCCAAAAAATGTATAATAGGTGAAATCACTCTAATATCAAAATTAACAGCACACTATTGAAACTAGTGAACGAAAATTTGATATGTCGTACGTGTGTAAGACAGAGACAACAATTAATGCATGGGTAGCTTCCTCTTAAGTTAATAGGTATAGCCACGCGTATAGGTAACTATTTATTTAGGCATGAATATTATAATTGTTACCTACTACATATTAAATATTAGGTTCGTCTAAAATTGATTTAAATTGTTAATAATGTTTGATTTGTAGGTACTTACTGTTGTTTGCGAAGTCGAAGTGGTGTCCATAGTAAAAATATGTACTGGTTTTAAAAAAAAAATAGATACTGTATAAGTAGCACTAGGTAGGTACACTAGCTAATATCACAAAAAATGAATACAATTATATAAATCACTCAGGGGCGGTTCTTGAGAAGCCACAAGGGGGGGGGGCAGCGAATATATTTTGCATATACCTACATTATACTTACAATTTGCATTCATATCAAATTTTTTTTTTCTATTGTTTGGTACATGAGATGTAATTATAAATTATATAAATTATAAACTTTATACTACAACGGCATAACATAAAGATATAGGTATCAATAAAAAAATTAAAACATAAATTATTTTTTATTCAAACTTAATTAACAGTCAAACTTCAAACATATTATACATATTAAATAAACGAGCGCCCTCTACACTTCAATAGGAGTAAACATTTTTGTAAACAGTAAACATTTTGACAAAAATTAAAAAATAAAAATATCGCCAAAACGATTTTTAGTAAACTGTTTGCTCATTTATATTTTTAGTTTTTACTCGGCCCAAGGGGGGGGGCGGTCCACCTATCGCCCCCCCCCCCCCGTAAAACCGCCACTGAAATCACTGCAGATCACAATACTTTTAGGATGCTTGATTGACTAGTAGTGAGCATAAAACGATAATAGAGAATGGACAAACACCATTTCAATATCACATCACATAATTATAAATAAAAAATAAAATAGCCAATTGCAATAACGCCTCGTGATATTTTTCATCGAACATCCATGAACTTCACATAGGAGTGTATTTAACGTTGAAATGTGATGTTTGGTATTTACGGACAACTATAATATGGTATAATATAACTACTAGGCTTAGGGACTTCTAGCATTAGCATACTTTTTTTAATTATTTTTAAATATAGCAGAGTGCGAAATAAATTCGTTCCTCGGTGCCATGATATCAGACCTCAAATTTTAATGTGCATATTTTTGCATATTTGATAGATTTTGCAGGAAAGTGTATATTTTAAAATGTTTGTGCTTATTTTGCATATTTTGACAAATTTTTTTTTATTTTTTATTTTATTACAATAAGGTATTCCTAGGCCCTAGCTATTGCTATCTATACCTAGAGATGAAGGATAATTAATACATTTTCACATGTCAAATGCGATAATCAATTATTACAATTTTATGTTAAGATACATATATGATATAACTATATATCGATGGCGTAGCGCACAAGTGTGATAAGTGACATTTTTTTGAAAAATGAGTTAAGTGCATAATCAATTTAATCATACAATTCTGCACATTATGCCCAAACGTTGTAAGTGAATAGTTCATTATTTACTCCGATAGACGTCGTACAGTTCGTTACATTTTTGAATTTGTTGACATCTCAAACTTAAAAATCGTTCTCCTGAACAATTACGAAAATGTCACTTATCACACTTGTGCGCTACGCCATCGATATTATACATATTTCAACCGATCGAAAAAAAAAATTATTAATTATTAGATATACATTTTAAATAATATCTTTTTTAAGTTTAAAGTAAAATTAACCAAGATTTAGTGGTCAATTTTTTTTTTTTCAATGCATATAAATGCTTATTAAAATGCATATTTCAATGATTTTAGCAGCATATTTGTATTTTTTTTTAGAGCTATAAGTCCCTAAGCCTGCTTATAACTTATAAATTAAAACATTACTTTTTTTGGTAAATTTAAACAAAAAATACATTTTTTTTTATTTTATAAAATATATAGTAATGATAATGATCTAAATGAATGCATTGGTGTATCTGAAGTATCTGAAGAAAATGAAGTCTCTATAGAAATCACAAACACTCTGGAAGGTGAACCATCTAATGTGGATAACCTAAGTATATAATTACCCCCTCACCAACGGTGTGCAGCACACACAATGAACCTTATTGCTTCAGTTGACATTAAAGATGCGGAAAAAGACCTTCAGCTATAAAGTATTTAAAAAGTGCCAAGCAATATTTAATAAACAGAATCAATAATCTACATTAAGTGCAGATATCATTGAAAATCATCTGGGTCGATATCTTATTACACCTAATGCCACAAGGTATTACCTAATTATTTTAAATAATATTATGCATTGAAAGAAAAATGTCTTATAATATCTTATGTTTAAGTGGAATTCATATTATGATGCGATGAAATGCATTCTTGAAAATATTGATAAAATTGAAGATGTGTTATTTACAACTAACTACCATTTCAGGACCTCGTGAAATCTCATTTTTACAAGAATATTGCAATGTAAATTTTATATATAAATATGCATATTTACTTTTTTTATAATATATTCTAATAGTTGTCTTATACTGTTTTTTAGGTCATGAAACCTATATCAAGAGCATTGGATATATTGCAGGGTGATAAAAACGTATCTTTGGGATATTTGCACCCTACTATTAATGCAGTACATAAATCATTTAACGATATGAACTATGAAGAATATAGTTTTCTGTAGACCATTAATTATTGCACTTAAAAGAGGATTAAATAAAAGGTAATATTTCTGATTGAATTGATGAATTATTTAAATAGCAAACATTTAAATTTATAGAATATTACATAACCTGACCTGTATACAATTATAATCTATTATACTGTTTCTAATAAAAATATAATTTGTATTTTGGCCAAATGATTTTTAAGAAATTAAATCTTAAATTAGTTATTTAATATCTAAATAAAAGTATGTATAACTTAATTTAAAAAAAAAAAATAGATTATGTATTGTTGTATAAAATATAAATTGTATATAAAACTAAAATACTGAATATGTTAAACATGATAAAAATAAAAAAAACAAATTAATTGTGAAGATTATAAATATCATAATCGGTTATATTTTGTTTTATTCCTTATTAAACTCAAATAATGTTATGAAAATTTTTTTATTATTAGATTCACAAGATATATGGAGTCAAATATGTGCCAAGTGGCTGCCTGTTTGATACCAAAATTCAAACTCAATTGGGCTGTAGAAGATGATCGAAACAACATAAAAAATTCACTTATAGAAAAATTGGAAACCATAATATATAACGCATCATTAACAAATTCCCAAGATCTACAATCTACATCTAACACAACATCTACTGAACATCATAATAGTGACATTGAGGATGATTTTTTTAATTTTGAGGAAAATAATTCAATAATTTCAAATACTGATTATAAACTTCTTGTTGACAATTATTTATCAAATAAAAATATTAAATCTCCTTCAGAGTTACCAAATCCCCTTAAAAAATTATACATAAAGTATAACACTGCCGTCCCTTCATCTGCTCATGTTGAGCGGCTCTTTAGTGCTGGAGGACAGTTATTAAACAAGAGGAATGGCCGATCACAATTTTGAAATGACACTATTATTAAAATTCAATAAATATTTTGAATAACCTTGCTGTAAAATACAAATGATTTTTTTTATTTATATATACATATATATAATATATTATATAAATGTAATATTTATAAGTTAATAAGTAAAAATATACGAGTAGTATTTTTTTCTATACCTAATTTTTAAACATTTGAGTTATTTATTTTTGAATTGTAAATGTTAAACAGTGAAATATAGTTATAAAATTACACAGGTGGTACAGCCCTATAACAGGTTTTAAATTATATACATAATAATATATTATTATGCATCTTTTATCATAAGTATATGCTATATTACTATATTCAAGTGATTATCACTTATTAGTTATCTTAATACATTTTCGATGAACTTTTTTTTTATATTAACTTAACTTATTAATTTAAGTTAATTTAAGTTAACAATATTTGTTAACTTAATTTAAACTTAATTGATTTATTAAAAAAGTCTATTAACTTAACTTTTAACTTGATTGAAAAAAAAAATTAACTTAACTGAGTTAAAAAATTTCATTAACTTCCCCAGCCTTGAATAAATGTATAAATATTGAAAATTAATAATTATGTGTGTTTGGGTAAGTGAAGATGGGACTCGTATAAGAGCAAAATTGAATATGATACATTAAGTAATAAAATAGTTGGTTTTGTATTGCCATTCAAAGACGGAAGAGCAGTTGTTGATACATTTTTGGCCACATCAGCTAAAACAATTGCACAATATTTTGAAAACCACATAAAAGCTGATTATGCCTACGTTGTAATGGCTAAACCTTTGGTAGACAAAGCTCCTTCTTTTTGTATATGCATTTATGGTACGGATAATAGATTCAAACATAGTGATGTTATTGCTAGATGGAACGTAATGACAGAAATGGCAGCAAATGTGGGAATAAAAATTTTAGGATTTTCTTCGGATGGTGATCCGAGGTTATTGAAAGCAATGAAAATCAAGAAATCTGTGCCTAATAGTCCACAGTCTTATGTTCAAGATATGATACCTGGCATAATTCTGCCAATGGGTGATTATATGGTATCTATTAGTCATTATATTTGAAGTCAATGATAGAAACATTTTCCAAAGATAAACATTTACTAACTAACACAGACCTCAATCCCGTAGACAAAATGAATTTTAGGTCTGCAGAAAAAATGTGCTCACATAAAGTAATAGAAATATTGAACAATATTGAAGGTAGTGAAGCAACAATTATATTTCTTAAGACAATGAATGATGTCGTGTCTTCATTTTTGGATAAGACGATTTCAGTCGAAGAGAGAATATACCGCATGTGGCGCAGTGTATATTTTTTACGCATGTGGAGATATTTTATTCTAAAAAATAAGACATTTACATTACGAAATAATTTTCTTTCGAGTAATTTCTATACGTGTATTGAATTAAATTCTGAATCTTTAATTATACTGGTAAAAAAATTCAGTGATAATAATTATACATTGAGGGCTGACATGTTTTTGCCGTGGAATTTCAGCAGCCAACCATGTGAAGAATTATTCAGAACCACTAGATCTATGACTTCTACATACATTACTGTTGTTAATTGTAGCAAGAATGATTTACTGAAAAGATTAACCCGAATTGAATTGTTGAACTATATACAAAATGATCTTGAAGCTGACCTCGATGATGCCAATTTAATACTGAATAAATCTAAAGAAAACTGTGTATCAAAACTTGATAAATTCATATTTCCACGTCAACAAAACCACAGTCGAAATTTCATTAACAAATCTACTCCTTCAATTAAAGCAGAATTTCAAGAACTTAGTGATGAATATATTAAAAATATTCTTGATAGAAGTTTAACATATGCAAAAGGGTTGGCTTCCAGTATAGGTGAGTGCTATACTGCTATTATTGGTATAGGTAATAAATAATTATTATACTTTTAATAAACTATTTTATATTCACAGGAATAATATTTGATGAAAACTCTACAACACGGCCAAAATATTTGTCCCATAAAGAAAATAGTGAAGAACATGAAGATATGTGTTATAGTGATGAAGGTGACTTTGAAAACACTGAAAGTACTACAGAGATCGTTGATAATACTGTGGAAGATAATATTTTTGGAGATTGGAGCAAAATAGCAGAATTCGGTACATTTGGTGAAATTTTAATTTTAAAAGATTTTTCAAATAATGATAAAGTTTTATGTTCAATTGCAAACACAATTAAGACTTGTCACAATATCTCATCGGATTCTCTTGATGTTCCTTCAGAATTTGTACCACTAACTTTAAATTAAAATAGCAAAATAATAGTTAAAAAATCAAGTTTATGTTGGCTCTTTGATAACAAAAGTCAGCGAATCAGTAATGACTGTCTTATGCGTTTTATCACAAAAAAAAAAAAAATTTAATAACTTAGAAACTGAAAATATGCCACCAAGTTTACCTTCCACGGCATCTAACCAAAAACCATTAAAATTAAAAAACAACAAAAACTCTACATTGAACAAATTGCAAAAAATATCTCAAGATCAAATTTTTACAAAAACGATGTCTTCTACAATAACTTCTGAAATTTAAGCCAATGATAATACTTCAGGTAGGGAAATTTTAAGTTGTTCAGTTAAAATAGGAGTTTTGTATTAGTCAAATATAAAGGAAAAAAATTTTTTAATTTTTTGTTGGACGTGTTGAGGGTTTAGAATTTAGATGTTGATGTTGAAGTGTTATTTTTAAAAAGAAACATAGGAAATACATTTTATTATCCTTCAAATCAAGAATTTGACACCATACCTAAAGATTATATTGAGAACATTTTACCTCAGCTAAAGCCTACTGGAAACAGTAAAATAAGTGCATTTTTACTCAAATTTGAGGGAGTAGATTTTTCAAAATACAAAATGGGTTAATTGTTTATTATTATATATTTTATTATATAATCTAACAAACTTATATAACAGTTACATTTTATTTCTTAATATTATTATAAGTAATTCAATATTTATTTTTTACCCAAATTTATTGTTTTTAACATTTATTTTAAGTGTATAATATAAGTTCATAAATATGTTCTTAATATACATAGACTGTTTTACTTTTAAATATGGGGTTTGAAAAGTTTTTAACTATGTTTTTAATAAGTCCTAATCAATTAATTTTTAAGTTTTGTAGATTTATAATTTATCTATTTGTTCAAATTTTATAAAACATAAATTTATGTGATTCAGTGATTGATGTTAAATTTAGTTTTGTTTTCAATTTCAGTATTTTATTTTAGCTTAAAATATTACACAGATGTTCAATATTAGGTATCTCATACTTTTTTTATAAGTATCACAAAATAAGAGTTATTAAAGGTACCTATATAAGAACAAAAACATTATTTTAATAATACATTGATATTAATAAATTATTATGTTTAGGTAAGAACATAATGTATATGGTAATGTATTGAATTAAAAGTTCAAATTATATTCATAGAAAATTTTTATATTGGTTTTTACATAGTTGTTTATAACAACAAATTTAGTTACACAGTATTTTAACATAGATTATAAAATAGCTCAAAGGTTATTATTTTTCAATTTAGGTACCTCTAAAAATATTCAGAAATTATAGGAAATCTTTGGAAATCATAAGAAATCATAGGAAATCTTCGGAAATCAATGGAAATCTTTGGAAATCAATGGAAATCACCGGAAATCTTGGGAAATCATTGGTAATCTGCAATGTGGTGTACAAAATTGTGTATAGTGGTTTACCCTCCGGTCGAAACCGTCATTGCCATATTTTTACACGGCCGCCTGAAATCCGACTTTTTTTGCATTTTTTTTTTCACTATATTTTTCATATAAATTAAATAATAATATTATAATAATACAGGAACATATTATTGTGCATTATTATTATTTAAAGTCATTGTCATATTATATCACACAATAAATAGGTACATATTATATTTGTTTTATTAGGAATTATTATAATTGCATATTTTTTAAAATTTCCATGATTGTTATATAAATATAGTTTGTATTTTATTTCAGATTGCCTACCTAGGTGGCTAACTTGAAAGTTAATCTTGATTTTGACTTGAGATGACTGACTTAC